CTTTCTTTCTTTCTTTCTTTCTTTCTTTCTTTCTTTCTTTCTTTCTTCACTTTACATCCCGATCATAGGCCCTTCCTCTTCTCCTCCTGTTTCCATCCATCCTCCCACTTCCCTCTATCTCTCCCCCACACTCCTCAGATAAAGGGAGCCTCCCCTCTCTATCAACTCAGAAAAACATATCCAATCACATCATGACTTAGAACATCTTCATACCCTATACCTAGTGAGGCAGCCCTGCTAGAGAGAAATGATTGAAAAGTAGACCACAGAGTCCATGTCAGAGACAGCCCCCTCTCCCCTTTCTAGGGGACCCATATGTTGCCCAAGCTATCTATTGTCTGCATATGTGTACTGGGCCCAGGTTGAGTCCATGCATGGTCCTTGGCTGATGCTCCATAAATCCCCCTGGGCCCAGGTTAGTTGGATCTGTTGGTCTTCTTGTGGAGTGACTTATAGTTTCCCCTCTATTCTTCCCCCATTCTTCTACAAGACTCCCTGTGCTCCACCCAATGTTTGGCTTTGATTATCAGCATCTATTTCGATCTGCTATTGGGTGACGCCTCTCAGAGGACAGCTATGCTAGTCTCCTATCTGTAAGCATAACAGGGTATCATTAATAGTGCCAGGTTGGCCTTCTCCAATGGAGTGGGTGTCAGGTTGGGCCAGGCACTGGTTGGACATTCCCTTAATCTTTGCTCTATCTTTATCCCTGCATATATTGTATGCAAGGTAAATTTGGGGTTGAAGTTTTTGTGGGTGGGTTAGTGTTCCTCTTCCTCCACTAGGAGTTCAGTATAGTTAGAGGGTAGCCTCTTCAGTCTCTATGACCCCTGCTATTAAGAATCTCAGCTAGAGTAACCTTCATATGCTCCAGGAGCCTAACCTGATAAGTCTCCAGCTTGTCTCAGAGATACCCCTACCCACAGTTTCTCTTCTCTTTGCAAGCTCTGTTTTCCTGTTCCCTTTCCCCAGTCTAATCTATACCTTCACTTCTCTCTGTGCTCATTCTTCAACCCTGTTCACTCTCTCTAACAATTTCTACTACATATTCTATTTCCAGCTTTGAGTGGCAATTAAGTATCCCTCCCTTGAATCCTCCTTGTTAGTTATCTTTTTTGGCTCTATGCATTGTAGTATGTTTATCCTGTACTATACGGCTAATATCAGCTTATAAGTGAGCACATGCCATGTGTGTCTTTCTGGGTCTGGGTTACCTCACTCAGGATGATCTTTTCTAGTTCCATTAATTTTCCTGCAAATTTCATGATTTCCTTGTTTTTAATAGATGTGTGGTATTCCATTATGTAAATGTAGCAATTTCTTTCTCTGTTCTTCAGTTGAGGGACATCTGGGTAGTTTCCAGTTTCTGGCTATTACAAATAAAGCTGCAATGAACATAGTGCCAGTTGAGCAAATGTCCTTGTGATATGATGGAGCATCTTTTGCATATATGCCCAGGAGTGGTATATGAGGGTCCTGAGGTAGTGCTAGTCCCAGTTTTCTGAGAAAGTGCCAGATTGATTTCCGAAGTTGTTGTACAAATTTGCACTCCCACCAGCAATTGCTTGACTCAAAGTTCCCTTAAAATTCCCCTTTGTTCTTTTGTTGGCCCTATCCATTCACATCAGAGAAAATAGAAAAATCTCTTCAGAATTAAAATCTGGCTCAGTTATAATCCTCCAGTGTTTACTGTTGCTCTCTGCATTCGATTTAAAATACCACACTTTCTTGTTCAGAAAGACAGGATTCAGCAGTCTCAGTGTTCTCTTGGCTGATCTCTTTCTTTCTCAGTGTTGTACTTTCTGCACTGCCTCATTTGCATCTCATGAATATTACATGTGTCTATGTGGTCAACAGGAGATGTTGCATGATATTACCTGTCATTGCAGAGTATAAAATTTATATGTAAATAACTGTTTAAGTTATTTGCTTCCATTTTTCTTTCACAAAGCTCACTCTTCATACTCGTCTTTGTGGGCACCATATTTTCATATTTCTGAATTTTCCCATTCCTGTTTTTTTATGTGGAAAACTCTTCTCTCATTTTTAAACATCAAAATATTCCCTAACCATAAACCAATAGTTATAGCGCCAAGTACTTCTACCATTTAAAGTCTTGTGAGTAAGATTTACATGTTGTAAAACAAAATATATGAAAGTAATATATTATTCTTAATTTAAAATAATTTTTATTCTTATTTATAGTCATATGTGTACTGCCTAACGTCTTTGTAGATAATAAATTTAGTACTTTATTATTAATCATTGAACATTTCTTTTGATAAATACATTACTCTTTCCTACAGACAAAAGACAGGCAAACAAAGGTATCAATGGTCCATAGGTCTACCCTTTTCTATGTGATACATTTCAGTTCTGTCTCCATGAATCCAGTGTTGTTTATTCTTTCCCTTCCATTTCACATACCACAACCATGTACTGTGCCCCATTACAATAGAATCCTCATTTCCCAAATAGGTCTTGCAGTTGCACTTTCTAATTTTTATTTTTCCTTCTTAATATTTTAAACATTTTGACTCATTATATTCTGTTCTTTAAACCTATGACATACTTCATTTAAGTCTCAGTGCCCCATTTTTAATTTGATTGCTTGATTTGTTGCTGTTTAACTTCTTGAGCTGTTTATATATTCTGGATATTAGCCCTCTGTCAGATACAGGGTTGGTGAAGATCTTTTCCCAATCTGTAGGTAGTTGTTTTGTTCTGATGAGTGTCCTTTGCTTTACTAAAATCTGTACACCTAAAGAAGCTAAGCAAAAAGGAGGAGCCTGGGTAAGATGATCAATACTCATTCAGAAAGGCAAACAGGATAGACATGAGAAGAGGATGAAAACAAGGAACAAGACAGGAGCCTACCACAGAGGGCCTCTGAAAGACTCCACCCAGCAGGGTATCAAAGCAGATGCTGAGACTCATAGCCAAACTTTGGGTAGAGTGTAGGAAATCTGATGAAAGAAGGGAGAGATAAAAAGACCTGGAAGGTACTGGAGCTCCACAAGGAGAGCAACAGAACCAAAAAATCTGGGCCCAGAGATTTTTTCTGAGACTGATATTCCAACCCAGGACCATACATGGAGATAACCTAGAACCCCTGCACAGATGTAGCCCATGGCAGCTCAGTGTTCAAGTGGGTACCCTAGTAAGGGGAACCGGGGCTGTCTCTGACATGAACTCAGTGGCTGGCTCTTTGATCACCACTCCCAGATGGGGGAGCAGGCCTTGCCAGGCCACAGAGGACAACATTGCAGCCACTCCTGATGAGACCTGATAGGCTAGGGTCAGATGGAAGGGACAGAGGACCTCCCTTATCAGTGGTCTGCAGAAGGGGTATGGGAGGAGAAGAGGGAGGGAGGGCAGGATTGGGAGGGATGAGGGAGGGGATACAGCTGGGATACAAAGTGAATAAATTGTAATAAATTAAAAAACAATATTTAAAAGATTTATCTCAAAGGCCACCCTTCACCCCCACCCCATGAGCCCATCAGAAAACTTGAATGAATATTACTCATTGCCTCTGCCGTGTCCTGGCTTTGCTCTATCCACACTGTGGCTCGTGTTCTGACTTAGCCTCACAGACGGACTGAGGGAACATGTCGTGTGTGTTGTGTGTGTTTACCTGACTGCCAGAAATTGGGATCATGGAACTGTTTTAACCCTGAGAAAGATTTACAAATTGAAAATGGCATTATAAATATGCAAATAGTATGGAAATGCTCTTACTGATTAGGATAATTCTAAGCAACCTAATTTTGCTCCTGACCTACCCATCTGTGAGACCCGTCAATCAGAGGACTGGTTATCATATTTAGGTTCAGAGTTATTAGACAAGAATAATGCAAGGAAAATAAAAGGAAGCTCAAGTAATGCCAAAGGCTGATGTCAGGTGATCCCTTGGAATATAAGAAATGCTTTCTCTGTTGAAAATTGCAGCAGTCACCTGCAGATTATAAATAAATACTTACCTACTTTATATCTGAGTACCGGGGCTCTGCTGTGAGATAAAACTCATCTAAGTAATTTGAATTGAAATGTTGAAATGTATTAGGAACCTAAAAAGTGTCATTTTGGCTTTAGTGTATAATTAAGATAACTTTGGTAAATTATTAAAATATCAAGAACCATAAGGCGTCTTGGTAATTACAGCTTACCAAGAGAGTTCCTATCTGGAGCTCACATGGCTCTTCTACTGAGGAGAAACCATGGAAATAAACCTGTGATTTCAGTTTCAGATAGCCCGTGGAAATAGTCTGCCTGCTCTCTTGCCCCTCTTCTCTTTAGAAAAATGTGAGTCTCTCAGTTTTTAAATGTGCTTTGTGCATCAGTTCCTTGGAATTTTCTTATGAGTATTAATGACAAGAACATTAATGGAGAACACAGTGTGCCAGTCCTAAAAACGGGAATTGCTTGCATGTGCTGGAGCCCCATCTCTCATCTGTTTGTTCTGTCTCTTTAAGGAGTTGCAGCAGTATCTTGCCAACCTGGCTGAGCAGTGCAGTGCTGACAATAATGGTGTGGAGCTCCCTGTTGTCATAATTCTGGACAATCTTCACCATGTGGGCTCTCTGAGTGACATCTTCAATGGTTTTCTCAATTGCAAATACAACAAATGGTAAGCGCTTAAAAAATTGGAATAATCAGCTATCGAAACCGTGATGCCATTTACCTCTTTGTACCTTTTTATGTTTCAAGACTTATAGTGGATACCATTAGTGTGATAACTTCTCCTGGCATCCTATATGTCCTGTGTATGTGCACGCTTTAGAATGTCTATCCACAACTATGTCCCCGGAAAAGAAATCTTAGCTTTGTTTGTTTTGTTTTGTTGCTTGTTTTTGTTTTGAGGGTTTCATTATGTTAACCAAGTTATCCCCAACTCCACGGTGATTTCTCTGCCTCTTCCTCCCCACACCACTGCTCTTGGTCTTCAGGAACTTTTATGAAAGCATTAAATGTTATTGGATGATATTATTTTCCACAGAAGTCTAGAATGCCAGTGGGGATGATGGGATGGTGGGACACTTTGAATAGGGCATGTAATAACAAGAAGGAGATTTTAAATCTCTCTCTACTTTTATTCAGTCCCTACCAAAGCAACAGTTCTGCTCTTCCCTAGAGGTGAAGTTAATTCACCCAGATATAGTGCCCTCCTATAATATAATACTTTATTATCTAAAGTGATGGGACAGGTTAAAGCAAGGCAGAAGACAATGAAACTCATGTGTTTCTTAGAGTGTGGTCTCTAGAGAAAAACATATAGAATACAACAGTATAAATGGCATTAACCATAATAGTATTGGTGATCAGTCTTTGCTAGTGACAAACTTCTATAAATTGACCAGCGTAAAGTAAAGTTTAAAGGAGAAATCAAATCATCATGTTATTAAGAACCTTCAAGGAGGCTAGAGAGATGCTATGAGTACTTGTTTGTCTTACAGAAGACCTGGATTTTGTTCCCAGTGCCTAAAAAATTCTCACAATGGTCCATAACTCCAGTTCCAGAAGATCTGGCACCCTCTTCTGACCTCCCTGGGCCTCAGGCACACATGTTCTGCACAGACACCCATGAGAACAAACATTCATGCACATAAAATAAAGCACAGGAGCTGTAAGATAGCATAAGCATGAAGTGGTTTTGTACGCCTCTAGTCCCAGATTGTTAAAAGCTGAAGCAGTCATATTTCTGAGTTCGACACCAGCCAGGGATACATAGTGAAACATTACCTCAAAGAAAAGTTAGACTAGACAAGTCCATTGTGATTATTCTGTCCAGTCTCGTGTTTTTTTTTTTTTGTTTGTTTGTTTTTTTTTTTTTTTTTGATTAAGATTCACAAAGGAAAAGGAAAAAAAAGAAGCCTTGCCTCTTTGTTAGATCTCAGTGTTAGATCAGGTGTTAGATCTCAACCCCCAAAAGAAATTGCATTCCCATTATTTTTATCACTTTCTAATTTAACATTATCAAATTTCTCTTAAAGCCTACTGTTAAAGTTGAACAGTGTTTATTTTTCTTGATTGTTTTTTTGAGATACTTTTAATCACTTTTCCCTCTAGCACATCTAAATGCCCCATTCTCCATTTTTCCTAGTCCTTATATTATTGGAACAATGAATCAGGGAGTCTCTTCATCACCAAATTTAGAACTACACCACAATTTCAGGTAAGAACTTGAAGGAATGTGTGTGTGCACGTGTATGTCTGTGCTTGTGTGTGTGTGTGTGTGTGTGTGTGTGTCTGTGCTCTTGTGTGCATGTGACATTGTTTCTTTCTAATCAGATAGGTGGCTTGATGGCTGTTTTTCCATTTGGTTGCTGACAGTTCTGCCCACAGTGACCTGTTTTGTGAAGATAATTCTCACTTCTCCTGGCTCCCTTTTTTAAGCAGACATTCTGTGATCTTTAAGCTGTAATCAAAGTGTCTTCTTTTTTTGCTCACTACTTCCCTGGCTAAAATAGAGCATGCTGCTTCTAAGTGAAGACTGTGAAGAGAGCTCCTATTTCAGGATCTACGGTTCTCCTTCAAAATCTCTCTCAGCCTGTTTGCGCCCACTCACCCTCAGGAACAGAGCTTCTTGGAGATTCACTGTATTATAACTCAAATGATAATAGATTTTCTAAATGCTCACAACATCAAATTGTGGTCACTGGCTAATATAAGAACATGAGTGCTTTAGACTGCAATGAAAATAAATTTTAAGTTTTAGAAAAAAATCTTTTTTTTTTTTTTTGTAGGTGGGTATTATGTGCAAACCACACAGAACCAGTGAAAGGCTTTTTAGGCAGGTTTCTTCGAAGAAAACTGATAGAGATGGAAATTGAAAGGAATGTACGCAATAATGACCTAGTCAAAATTATAGATTGGATTCCCAAGACGTGGCATCATCTCAATAGCTTTTTGGAAACGCATAGTTCTTCTGATGTCACTATCGGTGAGTTCCAAAAATTAAAATATTCCATTTTCCAGACACTGAGCATAGTGGGTAAAGGTGACCAGATTGAATGGAGAAATAACAAGAAAGGTAGTATTCTCAGAGCTTTCGAAGATTAAGGAATCCTTCTCTAAAGCAGTCTTTTTCTGAGTGTTATATCTATAATTATCTCATTGTATGTGACAATTATGGACAGTAAAATTAAGCTTGAAATAGGAAAGCATCTAAAAATCACCTTACCAGTCAAAAGAAAAAGTACCCAGAGTAATTTTTTTCTGAGAAATATAACTCACATTTTTCTGTCTATTAGTCCATTCGAATGTAAGTATGAAAAAGGATTTTAGTTAGAAATAATGGACTTCTTATGAATAATTTTTGTGTTTCACATTTTTCTTCAAAAGATAAAATCTTTTCTTCAAAAGATAAAAAGTGCCTCTCTTTTGTGGGCACTACAGTGTTTGTTTTGCTGTTTCTTCTTAAGTTGCATGAGCCTTTCCCATTGCCATCAAATCATCAAAAAGAGCCTTGGCTGCAGGCAAGCATTCTACTATCAGCTCAGGGTGTCTACACTGATTCCAAATTCTGGGAGCAATGGCATTTCATAATCAGCAGTTCATTTCTGTGTAACTGAACTTCACATGGTTTGAAAAACAGGACCGGATTATGTCACTATTTTTCCTCATTCTGTGTTGTGTCTTCAATTAAGATTTCATTGTTAAAAAAAAAAGAGAGAGAGAGAGAGAGAGACCCCTGGAGACTCAGTCTTCTAGGAACATGTTTTCAGGATGATCAAGATAGGAATTTTCTAGGAACATGTGTGTTATATTTCTGCACAAGGTTTCTAAACGTGTGTTTATAGTGGTAAATATAATGCTTCTGAAACATTTTATCATTTGTATCTTGTTAGGTCCTCGGCTTTTCCTTTCTTGCCCCATGGATGTGGAAGGTTCTAGGGTGTGGTTCATGGATCTCTGGAATTATTCCTTGGTACCTTACGTTCTGGAGGCGGTGAGGGAAGGCCTTCAGGTAGAGTACTTTATTTGTATCGTATAGAAAATAAAGTAAAAAAAAAAAAAAAAGAAGAAGGAAGGAAGGAAGGAAGGAAGGAAGGAAGGAAGGAAGGAAGGAAGAAGCAAAACCCATACTATTTTAAAAACAAAACCATTTATTTATTTGGCTATTTATGCAGAAAACTAAAGTAAATAAGGGACAATAAATGTGTATGTCTGTTGGAACAAGGCTGTTATGTATGCCTATGCAAACAGGGGTTCTCCTAGTACTATGCATCGAAGGCCAAGATTGTGGCAAAGGGGGTTTAAAATGTTCTTAGTAAACAGATACTTAATTACTCAGTTATAATTTTAGAGTACAGACTATGATAAAGACATGGCTTTCATTCTTCATAACATTTTGCATTTTACGAATTTTCAAAAACCATTGTGCTGCCTGCAATGTAAGCTGGTCTTTCAAATTTCATTTATTCAAAAACTTATATTATTATTTATGAAAACTCAGTAGATAATTTGTATTTTTACATAACATTTAGTGACTTATTTGCTCTCCAGATACAGTTTCCATATTAATAAACTTTTATCCACATCTTCTTATGTAGATTCTTATTTTATATTTGCTTGAAAACAAATAAAAAGCAACAGAAACTTTAGAAGCCTCAAAACAGTGGCATACAAACTGCTTAACTCCTTTAGATTTAATTTTTTTTAGAAATAGATATTTTTATATTAAAGTAAATAATATTTATAAAACTCTTCCCTGAACATTGTAATTGTGCAAAGCATGCGTTTGGGTGAGAGTCGTAATCATTTAAGTAATTACAATCATTCAAGCAAGAGTAATATATCTTGAGCTTCTTGCTCTAAGCTCTTGATATTTGGTCCTGGGTTAGTGTTACCTTATAAGAATAGAGGCTCAAGTTGGGAGCCAGCACACGGAATAAAGGAGTAGAGTACCTTCTTAATAAGTGGACAGTTCTGGTTGAAGTTGAAATCTTTGCCGTCTGAAAGAATTTAGATAACAGGAATCCTGGAGAGATCCAGCTGTGACCTCTGAATCAGAAAAGGTCATATGCTGTGCCCTTGAATCTACTAGGGTCAAAGACTGTAACTTGAAGGAGGAAGTGAGGAAATGAATCTGGGTCTCTCCATTTGAAGGGATGGAAAAGGAAAGTCATTTTTGGATGAAGGATGGTGTTTACTGGGGAACCATATGGGGATGTTCTCTGCCACATGTTCTGGTTAGAGAAGATGCAGCTGACACACTCAATTTTCTGAATTTCTTTTTTCTTCTGGTGATTCCATCATTCTTGAAATGTCAACAATCAAATCAGCTCTTTCCGGGTGTTTAGATTTCTCCTCTTATGATATTCACCTTTTTACCTCCTATACTCTTGTTGTACTCTGATATATTTTTTTAATGAGTGGCATCATTTGTTGATATACCTTAATGTAAAAAATACATAACTCTCTTGTTTTAGATTTACTTATTATTTTTGCTTTATGTGTATTAGCATTTTGCCTGAATGTATGTATTCTCACCGCATGCCTGTCTTGTGCCCTTAGAGGACAGAAGAAGGTGTGAGCTACCCTGGACCTGGAGTTAGGATAGGCTGAAAGCTGCCTTGCCAGGGATGAGTAGCCAGAGCTCTTAACTGCTGAGCCATCCCTCACACACCTAAATACAAACTTTCTAAGAACTGTACTTGTTTTTTTCTTTTAATTAGTTGTACACATATCTGTATTTTGTACCCTATATTAAGCAATTTTTAGCTGAGACAAAACTTTCTGCTCCAAAATGAGAGCTCTATAAAGGAGAGAGAGAGAGCACGATGAACGAACAAACCATCTTCAGATTGCTGCCTCTGACCCTATCTACAAAAGAAATATTGGGATCTAGATAATTTTTGTATTACCACAGATTCAAACTTTAATATTATTTCTGGAGAAACCTAAAAGAATTTCACAGGCTTGTGCTCACAATGCCTTTTTCTTTTTTCTTTTGTCTCACTGAGCCACTAAAAATCCCTGTCATCAGCAGACAAACCATACAGTGTCCTCTGAGGTCATGTCACTCAAGTACTTGGTAACCAGATGGTCTTTGGTGGCACAGGTCACAGTGGAAAAGAAAGTACACTGTTGCCTCCTCAAAAGGGTCGCATTTCTCTTCGTGTTCTCTCGGCTCCTTTACAAAAATCTCACCAGTCTCTGCCTCCTTGCCTTCTTCTCTTCAGTTTGATTTCATCTTTGTTCGTAACTTAGAAACTCCTGGATCCATCTTCACCTCTGCATTCTGCTTATGCTACTTTACCGGATCTCTTTCATATCTTTCTTATTGTGTTCCTTGTCTTCCAGTCTTAACAGAATTCATACTTGAGTTTCCATTTTCCCCCCTTTTCTTGGTGTTCTTACTTACAAACATATAAAGTCTTCCAACAAGAAGCAGTGGAATTATGAAGGGGCAGAGCTATTAGAGGAAAATGGTTATCACAGTATGGTGAGCAAATGGAAAAACAAAAAAAAAAAAACTAAAAAAAAAAAAACAAAAAAAACAAAAACAAAAAACTCTTTCATTCATCATCCTTCCAAAGTATATTTCGGTAGCTCCTTTATTGTAAGAACAGATTTTGTTTTTCATAGCCCTCCAAAATTTAACTTTCATTTATCAATGTTAAGGTTTTTCTTTGTTTGTTTCCCCTGTATTTGTAAAGTTATTAGCAAAAAAAAAAAAGTGTGCAATAATGTCTGTATTTCTTTATAATATACCTTATTCAGGCTTTTTCCTCTATTAGGTAGAATTTTGAAGCAGTGAGTGAGCTGTGTAGATGTACGTATGTTTAAAATCTGGAAAACTCTCCTGGAATGTACACAGGAACTGAATGTGAAAAGAGTCACTTCATTAGTCACCTTCTTTTCACCTAATAGAGACGATGTTTGTGTTCGGTGAACTTTTAGATGTACGGGAAGCGTGCGCCCTGGGAAGACCCCTCCAAGTGGGTCCTTGACACATACCCTTGGAGTTGTGCATCCCTGCCCCAGGAGGGCCCGGCCTTGCTACAGCTGCGACCAGAGGATGTGGGCTACGAGGGCTGCGCATCTGCGAAGGAAGCCACGACATCAAAGCACATTCCCCAGACTGACACAGAAGGGGACCCCCTGGTGAGGATGTCTCATCACTCCTCTGCTATATTAATGCCAGTAGTAATCATTAGCACTTAGCTTTCAGAATCAAAACTAGTTACTCTAGGTAAAACATGGAACCAGCCTGATAAGGATAAGCATTTAAACTGTTACTTTTAGCACAGTTTGCCTGGTTGAAATTCAGAAAACAAAACAAAACTAAAACTAAAACCAAAAAGAAATTTGTTTATCTAAAAAAGGGGGAAAAAGTAAGAAACCCTAACAGTGAGTCAAATCTGTGATTTATCTTTGGTTATATGTTAAATTGTGTTGATATTTAACTAGTCAGTATTTAAAATATCATGACAATCCAGTAGCTATTTAAGAGAAAACTAAAGTGTGTCCATAAATAAAAATATAATCAATTGTACACAGACAAAAAAAATCTATTTACTTTATATCAACCAGCCTAATTAAATACAGTTAATGTTCTAGTGCTTTAAGTAGGGAAGGATAAACTTTTTTTGTTTTGTTTTCAGGACTTATTTATTTTTACTTGTGGTGCAGTTTTACCTGAATTTATGTCTGTAGAAGGGTTTCAGGTCACCTAAATTAGGGTTACAGATAGTTGTGAGCTGCCCTATGGGTGCTGGGAATTGAACCCAGGTCTTCTGGAAGAGCAGCCAGTGCCCTTAACCACTGAGCCATCTCTGTGGCAATCAAAAGGACAGTACTCCTACCACTTTCTTCATTGCACTAGTGCATATAAGTTTAGTTTAGAAGCACTACAATAGTTTAAGTAAGTGTTTAGACCCCTAAGATTATAAACTATTAAGTATATATTATGATTAGGAATAAAGACCACTTTTTAGTGTATCTGCTTTGTATTCTTATAATATTTTGCTAGTGAGATCCTCAAGGAGAATTGATTACCTTGCTTGCTCAGTGCCAGAAGGTGTCATCTAAAACTAAACGTTGGTTCAGATATATTCTCTTGCAAACATATATATGCTGTCTGTGTCTTTGTTTCTATATATTTGTATAACCCCTAATGGAAAGAAAAAATGTATTGCAATCTAATCTAAATTAGAAATCCTAGTAGGGAAATTACTATCATAAGGAGCATGGTTTTGGAGCTTAACAAGGATGTATGTTCCAATACACTGAACATTATTTCAGAATTAACGTGCATGCTCATCATCAATTGTTAATGTTGGCGTGTGCATGCTGAGTGATAAGATGAAGTTGGATCTTGTCATTTATGAGCTTAAAAGGACATAGTCAGGTACTGGTGCAAGAAGGGTGCTTGTATGAAATGCATAAAATGCAGGAGCCTTGGTGAGCAAAATTGTGAGAACATTAGGAAAGTTCACAGCGATGGCATGGTTGAGCTAGGGACTGAAGCAAAGGTTGGCATTTTTCGTGTGGCAGAATGTAGAGCCTCTAAAAATCAAGGAAATACCACACAGAAGACTGCCAAGCAGCACAATGAAAATGAAGAGTTAGAGGCCAAATATTGGTTTGTCGGAAGAATTGAAACTACAGACTTACACCACATTGAGGCGTTTTATTTTTGTGGGTAGTTAAAACTTTATCACAGAGACAGTGGAAAGCCAGCGGGTAGTTTTGACTAGTGTTTATCTGTTTCGATTTGCAGCTACTTAAGGTCATTCTAATAACAGAATAGAGGTTGGAGCATGAAGCTGGGGTAACTGGCAGGCCTTCAGCTCCTGAGTGAGACACAGTAACAAACATAGTAAATAACAGGCATTATCTTGGCTGTGAGTACAGAGAGGATGGAGGGGCCGCCTACAGGGTGAATGATGCACAGAGGAGCCAGGTTGATCACATGATAGCTGAGTCATCTGTAGACCCACCGTCGTTTCATAATGTCCTTCAGTTTCAATATATAAAACAGCACTGTTAGACACAGAGGGAACATCATTGTGTGTGTTTAATACAGATCTCAGACTGGGAACTTACGGCCATTGAAGCTACTGTATTGAACCCTTTTGTGTTATTTGTTTTACTTCATGCATATGGGCATTTGGCCTGCATGTATGTGTGTGCACCAGATGTGTGTGTGGTGCCTTCTGGAATCAGAGGGTGTTCTAAATTCTTAGTTTAAGTCAGTAGGGCACTCAGGCACAGTTCTCTTTATAACTCACCTTCAGTGAAATGTTTGCGTTTCGGATATTATCACAAACTGCTTTCATCTTGCATCCTTGTGTAGGTGGAAGTGAAATGCTATTGAAAAAATGCCCTGAAAACTAGCAAAATGATTTCAAACTCCTCTATAACCATAGCCTCTCTGTCAAAATGACATTTCTGCTAGAATTAATGATTACCAGTTCATTATTTGTTTCACAAGCACTTGTTGAACACACATTTTCATACTGACACACAAATATCCACAGCCTGACTGAAGACCAAGGAACCTTGCTTTAGATATCCCTTATCTATTTCTCTGAGTTGAAAGACAAAGGACAACTTTGATCACTGCGGAAAATACCATAGTCAGTATTTGCCTCTAAGCAATAGAAAGTTTATATTACTGTAAGAAACCCTCAATAAGAAAACAAGTCCCCGACCCTCATGAAGACAGGTACCAATTACCCCATGCCTCCTGAAATTGTTGAGCCATCGATTGCCCAGGCTGCTTTTAAACATTCTTTTTCTTCCTGCTCCTGTCTCTAATAGTGGAACTGCAAATCTATTGAAACCCAAGCCTTTTCTTTTATAATACATTGGAGAGCTCTCTTTCTCCCCAGGTGCTCTCATGCACAAGTCCTCTCTGCTGGAACAAACGCTATGCTTCTCCTCTGAAGCTGAGAAGCTGGAGACAGCTGCCATTGTTCCAGGAGTTGGCTTTTGTTCTCAGTGATGTATCAATCATATTTCAGCCAGAGCCTCGGCGACAACAAACACTTGACAGTGATTCTTTCCTTCTCCCTCTTCAAATGCTCATGGTCCAATTCCTCCAGTTACCCCCTCTTGAGGTCAGCTCCTGGGCAACAGATGGTGTGCTGGGTGCAGCAGCTGGCTTCATTCCACTCCATCCCCCTGCTTCCCTTCTTCTCTCAAGGGACAGTGTTTGCAAGCCTGTGTGTGTGTGTGTGTGTGTGTGTGTGTGTATGTGTGTGTGTGTATGAACATTCACAACTTTCACTTACCATTCAATGTTGCCTGCTTTTCCCAGCCAAAATGCTGGGAAGCTTGGCTTGTCCTCCAGTAACCAACCCAGATGTCCAGCTGTGATAGAGTTTCCTTTCCAGTTTCCCTGCTGGAGCAGTATTCATTCACAGCCCCAAATAAAAGAGTTATCTTACGGCCCTATTTTGTTCTTCTGGTGTAGAGGCACAGTCCTGTTTGAGAGAAACAATTCAGGAGCCAGGTCGGTGAGCGAAAACCGTAACTGTTGTGTGCATTTCATTTGGACAGGGTGAGAGGAGACAGTTCTCTGAGATGGCTCAGGGCCCTGCTCATTCTGGGGCTGGCTGACTTAATGCATGATTGCTCACCAGGATGTCTCTTTTTCTTCCTTCAGATGAATATGCTAATGAAACTCCAAGAAGCAGCCAATTACTCGGGCACACAGAGCTGCGACAGTGATGGCATCAGCCACCGTGAAGACATTCTGGATTCATCCATTGAATCCACCCTCTAAAGGATGAAAGACTTAGACAAAGGACTATGTTTTTAAAAGGGTGTTTTAAAACACAGGTATTATCACTAAACCACTGCCAGTATGAAAGTCCCCTGTCCAGGGCGCTGACCCAGAGCCGTGGTTTCCAAGGAGGCAGCAGAGTTAAGGTGGAACCGCCAAGAGGCTAAAGTCAAAAAAGGGAGCTTAAGTTTATTGTATTCCTAGGCATTTTTGTAAGCACGGAGTTAGCAAGAGCTCCATTAAGCGACTGGAAAGGACCCTAAAGACAGGGCAGCTGAGCAGATTGCACATGGGGTAGCGAGACTGGACTTTGTTTTCTTCCTCTTTCAAAGTTTACAATGCAGGCCTACTTTTTTTTTCCCCTCCGTCTTTTTCTTTGTTGTGCCTTTTTTTTTGTTTTTGTTTTTCTTTTGTTTCCTCTGAGGGGCTGCCCTCCTCAGGCAGGGCTCACTTCTCTGATCCAGGAGACCTCCTTGTGCCACACGGTGCCGGTGACAGGGCTCCGGTAGTGTCTGTGTCATACGCTCACTCCATTGCAGAAGCAATCCACGAGGCCAGTCCTCCAAAAGCACAAAGGGAGTTGTGCCACCACCAGAAAAAAAAAAAGTACAAAATACGAATAAAAACAAAACTACTGTGGCAAACGGAAAGGGCCACCTTCCTTCCGACTGTCCCACTCTCCTGAAGTGCGCTACCCTCTTCTTAGTGTCTGAGTCATGGGTTTTATAAGGTTGTTTTTACCACAGTGGTCTTTTCAAACCACCTGCCCACTCCCCGGACCAGAGTTTTATACCAATTATTAGTCAACACTGACAAAAGGCTTTTTAGGGCTTTATTTGTTCGAGCCTTTTCAGTGAAAGAAGGAACATTTTTCTATGGTGCTGTCTCACTGCCTTAAACCAGATCCCTCCAACGATTTTAACAGTTGGTTTCAATCCTAAACCATTGGTAATTCCCACTGTCTCTTCATTTACAGCCAAGCAACACACCAGTTAACACAGCAGCCTCACTTCTAGATATAATTTTTTATTTTATTTTTCTTGAAGAAATGGATAGGAGAAAGATAAGTATTTTTTATCTTATGAATAAAGAGATTTCTTTGCCTATCCTGCAAATAATTTGAGAACCATAGAACCCCTCTTTGACCATCACCTAAAAGCAGAGACATGCGGCTTCATTCTACCTAGTTCTAAACGAAAGGTGGGAGATTTCTAATTCGGATCCAGTTGAACTACAAGAACTGGATTCAGCATGAGCACAATTATTTGGCTTTCTTCCCCTTGTCTTTATCTTTCAAAAAAAAAATTAGTTTTGACGCATGTTGTTTTGATTGCTATTGTTGTACATGAGACATTCAGCATTAAAGAACATTGATGCAGTCAGTCACTGTGGAAGAGGAAGCATTTATACTGTACAAGAAGGTTAGATTTGCACAGTCTACTGGGTAGGTATTGTAAATAATGACTTTTTTTTTCAAAACTTGCACAAAAATCAAAACAAACACAAACAAAATTGCATTTAACCTGTTGGTGTTAAGAGGTTGTTTCACTTACTGAGATTTCCTGTATGTTACAAACAAATACAGAATGCAAACCTTCCAAGCTGTTATTATCTGGTGTGTTTGTCCTGTACTTACAAGTTTGTTGTGACGATGCAGGAGCCATCAGTGCTAGAGTGAGCATGCTTCAGAACTGTACATGAGGCCAGTACATTTTTGGATGAGTAGCCGTCTGAAAGTACATCACTTGGGGCAGGCTAAAAAGACAGTGGGTGAAAGCTGATAGGTCACTGGTGAAGTCACACTGCCCACAGAGGACGGTTCAAAGGCTATGAAACCTAAGGTCAACGCCATGGCGCAGACATAGCTCTGTGCGCCTTTTAGGACATGTTATTGGTGCTACTCTCTGTGACCACCAACTCTATGGGTTGGTTTCTGTAGAACAAAATTAACAGCACGAAGTATCTGTGCAGATTGCAGAGTGTCAGTAAGTATTTAGGTCCTTACACGGTGCTATTGCCCGGAGAGTTATCAGACTGAATTTATGCACATAGAATTGCCACCCTGACTTTGGAGCCTCAACTGTGGATCAGATCTATTGTGCAACACCGATGGATATAGCTGGACGAGTGACTAGTCGCCCTTGTATGATACGTGACCTAAGAGTATTGCTAATCTTCCCCTGCCATTTCCAGAAACACGGTCCACACATGAGCATAAACAGAACTTCCTGCAATACATCGCAGTAGGTACGCCTAGTTTACAACTTAAACTAGTTTGTGAAACATTTGTCTGTATACATTTTATATTTTGTACATTTTTGATGTAACATATCATGTAAATAGGAAGAAGCAGTGAAATAAATCATCTGAAAAGTTTTGTAGTCTTTGTATAGCCCCAACAATGAGTACTTGGTGTCAATGGACCTAACTGGATGATGTATTTTCTATTGGTTTATTGTTCCTCTAGCTTGTAAACCAGCTTGCATATATTTTTTTGCAAATGTGCACCCTGTATCTGTCTAAATTATTACTTTGCCATTAAAGTGGAATTATTTATTGACAACAAGGTGTGGTGTCTATGTATGGGGAAATTTTGAATGATTACGTTCAGGGATATGTTCAGCTTTAAAATGTTTCTTCACTATTAATATGCCATCATTAGGGATCTGTGTCAATCTATATTTTATAAGCATCAGAGGAAGGGCTCCAAAGCTTTTAAGTAAATAAACTAACTAAATGCAGTATATATGTAGTGCCTAGAGTGAAAGTTATTTATTCAGTGAATATTTTTGAAAATTCTGAATGATATTCAAATATGCCTGATGACAAAATACATTTAATATAAAAATAAAATGTCAATATTCACTGAGTTAAATCAACTCATTATGTGTTTCTTTGTTTTTATTCCATTAAGTTCTCTTTTGACCTTTTAATCCTAATATGATTTTAAAGCAAAAGTAATTGTGTGTGTGTGTCTGTGTGTATTTGAGTGTTTGTGTGTGTGCGTGCATGTGTATATGTGTGTAAAAAGAGTGGGAGGGTGAAAGAGGGACAAAGACAAAGAGGTAGAGAGAGTTTATAGAATGCAAAGAAACTTCCTTTAAATTTTTAATTTCTTGGGGTTGGGGATTTAGCTCAGTGGTAGAACTTGCTTGCCTAGCAAGCACAAGGCCCTGGGTTCGGTCCTCAGCTCTGGAAAATAAAAATAAAAATAAAAGACAAAAATAACAAAATTTTAGTTTCTTTCCAAATAGTTTAGAGATTATTTATTTTTAATTCTAGTTGTAGCATGTATTTTTGGATACGTACTGGTTTTTCACTTTAAATGCTGAAAAGTGCTTGAATTGCTATTCCTGAATTAAATCAGTGTCTTTATTTCTACACTCAGTTGAGACATACAGAAAACTTGTACAGTTTATCTCATTCAGATTATTGATAAATTAATCCAGTGCTGGAGGTGGGGGTTGTTCAGTGCTAGAGCACTTACCTTGCATGAGGGAGGCACTGGATTTTTATATTCTTGTTACTGAAAGGGAAAAAGAACCTGAATATGACTCTCTTAAATGAGACATCAGGCTGCACAAGTGGGAACCCCAACAGCCCCATTCTTCTCCTGTGTCTGCTGAACCTCTGCAAGCCAAATTTTCTCACTAGGCTGAGGAAAGTACCCACCTCTCAGGGGACACTGCAAAAATCAAATTTTATTAAGTCAAACTGTGATGTGCAGTGCCTAGCTCTCTTATTGTCACCAAAATTAATATGAAATAGTTATTGCCCCATTTTCAATATTCTTAAAAATAATACATACATATATATATATATATATATATATATATATATATATATGTTACTTTTTTAAAGTTTTTTGTTTTGTTTTGGATGCTAGAAACTGGACACAGGAAATCATGTACCAGGAGCACATGATTTACTACTAAATTATATTCCCAATCGGATATTATTTTAAGAATATATTATAAACTCAGTTATCCCATGCATAAAATGGAATTAGTGGTTGTGCTCTTTCATAAGATTTGTTAAGAGTACTAAAGAAGAGACCATGAAGTACTCTAAACAATGTCTTCCATTCAGGAAACATTCAATAGATGTTAATTGTTATATTAACATTATTATAATTTAAAACATCAATAATAATAAAACTATTATTGGGCTTCCATTTATAAATATATTCAGTGTAGTATGAAGACTGCTGCTAAAAGTTTATCTTGCCAGGGCCTGAATGGATGCCTCAGTGATCACTTCAGATGGACCACAGTTGTTCCCTGAGCCTAATCAGTCAGAAAACAACTCATAATTCCAGTTCTTGAGGATCTTACTTCTGGTCTCTGGCCTATGCAGCCATAAGCACCTACATGATACACATAATCTCACATGGACACACCGACATATACATAAACACTAAATAATCTTTTTTAAAAGAGTATCTTGTTCAATTACTCATCTATAAAATAGTATTATTACATACTCACCTATAAGATTGTTTTGAAAACCAAATATTTTAAATGCAGAAAGCTCTGAGAAATGTAGCTGGTACATCCAAATACTAGCCAGTGTTATCTATTATATTATTATTATTATTATTTATTCAATGAAAGTTTATTATATACCTAACATATGTTATATACCTAACATAAGTTCTTCTGGAATCAGATGCAATGAGATGTAACCCATTTTTCCATAGCAAAAATGATGTGACAAAAAATCACTAAGATCTCCCTTCCAGCCTGCAGAGACAGATACTCCAACAGGACCTAGACCCCTGTTCAAATGAAGCCCATTGGGTACTCAGCTTCTAAGTGGGTTTCCTAGTAAGGGATACAGGGGTTATCTCTGACATAAACTCAGTGGCAGGCTCTTTGATCACCTCCCCCTGCAGGGCGGGGGTGTAGCTTTGTCAGGCCACAGAGGAAGATGATGCGGCTAGCCCTGAAAAGACCTGATAGGCTAGGGTCAGAGGGAAGGGGAGGTTAAAGGGCATATGGGGAGAAGAAGGAAGGTGAGTGGGACTTGGAGGAGATGAGGGAGGGAGCTGCAGCAGGGATACAAAGTGAATAAATTGTAATAAATAAAAATATAAATAAAATTAAATTAAAAAAAGATCTCCCTTCCATATGAAGTATCATTATCTGGGTAATTTTATTGGTGACTGTGTGTTAAACTGGTATTATTGTCAGTTTATTAACAATAGTGCTAGAATTCACCTGAAACTTATAGTTTGGCTTTGGTACACTTAAGACAAAATGACTTCTCATATTTGTGGCTTAGTTGACAGATATAATTCTATTGAAAAGCACTGCTGCAGAAGTCTTAAGACATTTACAAAATGTAATATTCTCCACCGTCTCTTGTATACACAAATAGCTATTGTTCTTCACTTTATTGATTTTGCCCATCCCTCAGTCTCCTTTAGTACCACGCTCACCATTTTGGTTCTGGTTACTATAACAATAACCCAATGTATATTATAGATCTAATATCCACTTATGAGTGAGTATATACCATGTGTGTCTTTCTGCTTCTGGGATACCTCACTCAGGATGATCTTTTCCAGTTCCCACCATTTACCTTCAATTTTCATGATTTTCTTATTTTTAATTGCTGAGTAGTATTCCACTGTGTAAATGTACCACAATTTCTGTATCCATTCCTCGATTGAGGGACATCTGGGTTGTTTCCAGATTCTGGCTATTAAAAATATAGTTGCTACAAACAAATCTGTACACCTAAAGAATCTAAGCAAGAAGGAGGACCCTGGGTAAAATGCTCAGTCCTCATTCAGAAAGGCAAATGGGATAGATGGAGTAAAGAGGGAACAGGACAGGAGCATTCCACAGAGGGCCTCTGAAAGACTCTATAGTGCCTACATCACAAGATCCCAAAAGACCACCAGGAGTCAAATCCGTTGCAAAACACAGGAGGGTTTATTTAATACAAGTTCAAGCCCGGTTCTCAAGATCCCTGTGGAAACAGATGTACACGGCTGCCAGGTCTGGGGGAACAGGGTTTTTAAAGGGAAAAAGACATAAGTGGGGAGTTTCCAAGCCTTGGCGTTACATGATTGGGTAAGGGACATTGACTTTTGAAATGATTGGTCTACTTTAGGTACCAAGACCATAATCGGTCTTGGCCTGGCCATCTGGGGGAATACCTGATTATGAGCAAAGCCTGGAATGTCCTGTTAGGGAGGGGGAGCGATTAGCACATCTTGCGGTTTTTCTTAGAAGCAGGGCTATGTGACATTGATCACCAGCTAGGAGTTATTTGGTTGGGTTGCGGGGCAATGGTATCTCTCAAGGCAAGCCTGGTTACTTTTCTGCAACAGGGCTGTTCTGTCTCAATTTGTCCGCTGCTTTGTCTAAACTTGTATCCAGGACCGCAGTCCTGGTGCCCCAGGAATTAAATTTCAAAAGGACCTCTCACTTTACTCAGCAGGGTATTAAAGCAGATGCTGAGACTCATCTGCTCAGCAAACTTTGGGCAGAGTGCAGGGAATCTTATGAAAGAAGGGGTATATTGAAAGACTAGGAGGGAACAAGTGTTCCACAAGGAGAGCAACAGAACCAAGAAATCTGGGCACAGAGGTCTGTTCTAAGACTGATACTCTAACCAAGGACCATTCATGGAGATAACCTAGAACCCCTGCCCAGATGTAGCCATGGCAGTTCAGTCTCCAAGTGGGTTCCCTAGTGATGAGAACAGGGACTGTCTCTGACATGAACTCAATGGCTGACTCTTTGATCACCTCGCCCTGAGGGGGGAGCAGCCTTATCAGGCCACAGAGGAAGACAATGCAGGCGCTCTTGATGAGACCTAATAGGCTAGGGTCAGATGGAAAGGGAGGAGGACCTCCCCTATCAGAGGACTGGGGAAGGAGCATGGGAGGAGAATAGGGAGGAAGGGCAGGACTGGGAGGGGTTACAGCTAGGATACAAAGTAAATAAACTGTAATAAATAAAAAAATAAAAATAAAAAGATTTGAAAAAAATAACCCAATGTAGAGTCTAAACATACTGATTTAACCAAGGACAATAACGTTCTAGACAGTATTACTATGTAATGATGTTAGAAGGTAAAGATGAAGGGTTCTTTCCTAGTAAACATATTTAGAAAATGTAGATAAATCCAAAACACAAGGTTATTTATTTAAAGATTTTTGAACCATTAGCTGTCAAGTAGAAAAGTAAGTAATTGATCCTATAGGATAAATATAGGATCATCCTACAGGATGAATATTAATCTTAAACATCATTAAATCATTAATAAAAGTCTCTTAATGTATTCTAATTTATTCAAAAAAAGGAAATAAATTACATCACGCATGACATTTTGTCTGTGCCGTATTTGTAGTAATACTCACATGCTCTATCCTTCTGCCTTAGCCAAGCCCCTGAGATTATAGATGTGTGCCACTATGTCCAGGTTAGAGCACTTTTTTTTCAGGAAATATCCTTCCTTCCGCTCTTTATACATTCTCATATGCCATGTCAAACTTGTAATTTCTTAGACGAACCTTTCTCATCTCTCAAACTAGGTCAAAGATCTGAATCATTCACTTCTCCAGAACTGGTATGTGAATGTGCGGGTCGAAGGCAGAGAGAGAGAGAGAGAGAGAGAGAGAGAGAGAGACCCACTTATAATATTGCACTCACAAGGCCTAGAATATATTTCATTCTCAATAGTTATGTGCTGAATGAAAGCAGTTTTTGAGTATGGAGGTATCAATTGAACTT